ATGTTTGCTTGTTTTGGTCACTTGCATAGAGATAAAGTTTCCCCTGGTGTCTTTCATCTTCCAGGTCTGCCTGACATGCTGCACCCAGGAAGTCCTCCTGAAGGTGGACCAAATCTGCAACAAACATGGCATCAAGTTTTTCACCGGTGATGTCTTTGGCTATCATGGCTACATGTTTGCCAACCTGGGTGAACATGAATTTGTTGAGTGAGTTTCTCTTGGCTTGGAATCTGGGGCTGACACCTTTATATGAAGCCGGTGGGGCTGAATGAGATAACTCTCAATATCCTGGGGAGGGGGGTGGCTATGGGTCCAAGTGAAGAAGGGAAATGGCTGTCTTGCAGCCATTCTGTAGGTTAGGTACTGGCTGAAATGAGGGGTGGAAATTTATATTAACCTCCCTGCTCTCTTCCCTCACTCTGCTTTACAGAGAAAAGGCAAAAGCTACCAAAGCCAGCCAGGAAGGGCAGGGGGACTCTGATGCAAAGAAAGCCAAGCTGGATGTTGCAGAGACAACCCTGGTGAAGAAGGTGCGTGGGTGAAGTTTGTGGAGCATAGAAGATGAGGAGGTGGGCTTCCTTCAGGGAATCTTGACCATTTGGCTGCTTCTTTCAGAGCCTGTTTTACTTCTGTTTATGGTATAAAAAGTTTTATGCATTTCATGGCCAAGCTATAAACAGACTCCTTATAGCTGAGAGTCCCGCCAGGCAAGCTACTCTTGTATTGCAGATTTTAAGTCTTTGCTTGGCCTCCCAGCATTTTTGACCTTTCAGAGATCTTAGAAGATCAACTAGTCTAGCCCCCTGCACAGTGCATGATCTAAAGCATCTCCAACAGACCAGCCAACTTTATTTGAAAAACCACCTGCAAAGGAGAACTCTCCACTTCATGTGGCAGCTTGTTATACTGTTCTGTTCATTAGTCAGCTGGTCATGGCTTGCCATTCTAGGAAGGTTGATCTATCAGTCAGACCTGTATTAACACCAAGGAGTGCCTGGACTTAAGGGTTGAAATGGAAAGTGCAAAAATGCACTTGAGTGCATTTGTCCAATTGAGAACCATGGTTTTATGCATTTGGGCTTCTGTGCTGGAGTGAGCTTGGGTCAACATAGAACAGCAGATGACGTTCCATGAGAAGAATGGAATTGCAGAGTGAATACCCCAGTTAACCTCTAAAAAATTACAAATGGCAGTTGTAGCTCTCAGTGCCCCCCCCCCAAAGAGTTGACGCCTCCAAATTTCTGGCCCCAATTTTTTAAAACAATATGTCATCACTCTGGATTTTAGAAAACTGGTTTCTGTTTAAAAGTAGAATGAAAAATATCCAGCAGGATCTTCTACTGGTTATTTGGATATCTTTATTCTACTGAATGCTTGGTGATCTTGTATTTCAACTGTGGGTCCCAAGAAGGGAGCACCCGTATATCTGCATCTGCATTCATCCATTCCTATTTGCTAGAAAGGGCCGGGGTTCTGCCCTGAGGAGGGGCTGCCATTGCTCCATCTCTTTCTGGCAGATGAGGCCTTCTTGGTAACTTCCAGAATACTCCGTTCACTTTATAACTTGCCCTTCACCGGAGCTGCCGGTGAACAAGTTGTCCACCTGCTTGAAAGAGCAAATGATGCAGAAAGTTGGACAAGTTGTACAGTAAAGCAGAGTTAAAATCTTAACTCCTGGATCCTGGTGCATCTCCATAGTTCTACTAGCTCCCTGCAGTTTCTGGGACGGTACCTGTGGAAAGCATCTTGCAGGTTAAGTTAAGCGACTTGAATGCCTCTCACTGCCCTTTTCTTTCCCCCAGCACGCTCATTTTTGCCTCCTAAAAGATGCCCTGACTCTCAGCTGGAGCAGCGAAGGGGCCAAAGCAGCCCTGAAGCGGACTGCCCCAGATTACTTCCTGCTGCAAGGTGAGAGATGCAGCTGAGATGGAGGCCTCTGCTGGGATCTGGCCTGGCAATGGGACAACAGATTAGGAGGCGAGTGTTCCTTCAGGTCACGTGATTCCTGGCCAGAACAGACAATGGAGGAGTCTCTAGCTCCAGCATGTGAGCTCCTTGTGGTCCAAAGGAGAAGCAGACATGAGCTGAAGCAAAGAGCCCTGGGAATTGGCCTTAGAACAGGCCAGGCATTCATGGAAAGCTCAACGGCCCCTCCTTCCTCTTCTTCCGGAGATGGAGATGGAGTGGTGCACTTTGCAAGGTGTAGGGTCTGGCTTTAGAAGGCGGACTGCCCCAGTTTTCCTCCCCTGGCAGCTGGAACCTAAAACCTCAGGTATACCCAAAACTTGGTTCAGTTGGCCAGAAAAGATTCCGAAGCTACCCAGATTAAACCGGTGCTTTGTATCCTTATCTCGCCATGGGCATTTTGGTTTGGAAAGGCAGCAGTCTCCTCTCTTACTTGGTTAAACGACAAAACAAATTATGTGCCTTTTTAAAAAGGTTTTTTTTATCCCGACTTAATATTTGTATAAGTATCTCAAAGCATTAAACATATCTAATACTTCCCCCTCCTCCTACTTCCCCAGAACAACAATCCTGTGAGGTGGGTTGGGCTGAGAGAGTGTGACTAACCTGAAGTCACACAGCTGGCTTTCATCTTTTCACTAGCACTGATGATGTTATCTAGTTTGGTCCTGAAATGTCTGCAAGAAAACAACCCAGCTCAGAGAGCCGCAAGGGACCCCTCATTTCAATACTAAGCTACACATTTTCTCCTTTATTGGTGGCTTCCTTGCCTAAGGCAGAACTTGAACTAGCAACCTCCTGGTTTTCTAGCCTGGTGCCTTAATCACTAGACCAAATTGGCTTTTCGCTACGGTTTCTCTCTGTTCTTCAGTCACAGCAGTTTGTTGTGATCTGCGGGTCCTCTTTCAGAGGGGGGAGGATCATTGGTTGTGGTATTTTGGGTCACCCCTTTGGGGAAGAAGAATGTCAGAAGGGGTCAGGGTAGGAGACATGCTTTCGTGTATATGCTGTAGATTGACTCCATGAGCATGGAGATGGTCTGGATGGACTGTGGATCATGGCACGGTGTGGTCACTGCCCTTTGACTTACTAGTTCTTGACAGTCAAGGGGAGCAGAGATGAGTGGCCCCAAATAAGGGGGAGCTGGGTGTAGTGCCAGTCTTACAGACTTCTGGGCATGCTGTAGGTCTTGTAAACAGACTATTTGTGGTCTCTTCCTCTTGCAGTGCTTTTCAAGTTCCGGATACAAAAGGGGCGAGACCCTTCCCCACAGAGTTACCTGGAGGATTCAGAGGCGCTCCGCCAGATGCGCTTGGATGTGCTGGCCTCTTTGGATGTTGGAACTGACCTGATTGCTGATGACTTTGCCAGGCAGGGCCCTCCGTTCTACCTTTGACCAGATTAGGGGGCTAGCTTTGCCGTGGGTCTTCAGCCCCTCCCTCCGCCCCCCAGCTTGGGACCAAAGAGCAGTGGATGGACATCCCGGAGAAAAAATGGCTCAGGATGCTGTGTGCCAGCCACCAAGCAGGAGCAGTTCCCCTTGGTGGGGCCCAGCAGCCAATGGATGGTGATGGTGGTGCTGGCCTCAATTTCCTCTTTAAGCCTTCTCTGAGATGGATGATGACTGGGGGGCTCTTAGAGGGAAGAAGGTGGCCATGGCAGCTTTTTTTCTGGAACCAGGTTCTGCTTTAGTGGCAGGGGAAATCCCTCCCCCCTCTCTGCTCACCTGCCTTCATCAGTTCCTGCCAGCTGATCCAATGCAGAAAACAATACGGCCTCCCTTTGAGTAGGCCAGGAGGGGGCAGCTGTTGGGGGGGACCCTTAACAGAACTATCCGAACACCTCTTCCAGCTGGTGTGGGGCTGCCTCATCTGCGCATCCAGTGCAGCAGGAGTTTAGATGATGGCTCAGGTACTCTTCCCTGCAAGCAACAAGCTTTGTGCCCCTTCCTTACTTTTCCTTGTTTGCTGTTATCCACAGCTGCTTCTCAGAAATGGCTCCTGTTTGTGCTGTGGTTGGAGGGGTGCTGAGCCAGGAGGCTGTCAAGGTAGGTTCTTTGCCCCCCCAACCCTGAAGGCAGCAGAGCATGGCATCTTTCCTGGGAAAGGCATCTCCCAAACCAAGGCTTTGTTTGCCTGCCGCTTCACAAAGGCACACACACGCACACACCAGCTTGGAGATGGGATGGACTGAAACACTGGTGAAGTAAGCCCTTCTGCTCTTCAGAGCTTTCTAGCGAGAGGCACGGAGGGTCTTCGCTGGCAGACCGGCAGGCACAAAGGGTGGGGAGTCGTGCTGCCTCCAGGCTTATCTTATATTGCCTATACTTTTATCTTATTTCTAGGCTCTCTCACAACGGGACCCTCCCCTCAACAATTTCTTCTTTTTCAATGGCATAAAGGGCAGTGGGGTGGTAGAGTGCCTGGCCCCCAACTTCCCATCCTGAACTATGTGAACTTGGGAGATGGGTCTTCAATTATGGATTCCCTTCCTGAACAGTCATCCCTCATAATGCCTTTTCCCAACTTAGCCCAAATAAAAACTTTGGTTACCAAGTCTTTCTGGCAATGATTTCCCCACAATATCCCTTTAAACAGTGGGGGTGGGGGGAGAGAGCAGGGGCCCCCAGCCTTGGAGAAGGAAGATCCTGCTGTAGAAGAGATGATGCTTCTGAGTGGAGCCCCCAGGCTCAGCCTGACTTGCAAGAGAGTGGGGCAGGACAGTCTCCAGGGCAGCTGCTGGCCTGTCACTAGCCAGCCTTTAGCTCTCTGGAGCAATGCAGTGTCCAAGACCTCCTTGGGAAGGAAAGAGCTAACTTTGGGGCTTGGACGGGTGAGCTCAGGTTCCATGTTAAAAGAGAAGGGCAGCTTCCTGGAAGGGGTCTGTCTTTGCTGGGCCACAGAGAGGGGCTGAGCTGTGCCTGACTCCCGTCTCCCGCTCTTGGAGGGGCCAGAGTCTGTCTTGACAAGGACAGTAGCCTCTTGCAGTCCTCCCACAAGGCTCGTGGGGGAGGATGCCGGACGGGTCCCATGTCCTTTGGCACCTTGGCCTACGTTGCTCCAGGATAAAAGAGGCTGGTACCATTTCTGCTTTCATCTGGTTTTATTGAAAAGGAAATATACAAAAAAAGTTCCACCTCTTCACAAGATACAGACAACCAAACCCTCAGGTAGGTACAGGCAGCACCCAATTATATTCTATGTACAAGCATGAAGACTGTCTATATACACACAGCAGCAGCTGCACCAATGTGCAGGTTTTCTTCCTCTCACCCCACCCCCACCACATATCTACATACACGTCCAGTCCCTTTTTACAGTGGACGTTGTAGGCTGTCCCTCTAGAGGCGAGGTGGCAAGTGCAATTCTCTTCTTCCCCAACCCGCACATACAGGCTCAGTGAAAAATATTCACATAGTGCTAACTTGTCTCACCCCTACCCATCTGTGCAGCTCCCCATAAGGCACTGCTGGGCTGGGCGCAAAAGGGTGCCATGGCACTCGGCAACTCAGTGCAGGGTGTTGTTTGCCCACCGCGATGGGCTCAAGGCCGGCTGCTTGCGGGCATCTGTTCTTCAACTGAGGCTGCGGTTCCCCTGGCCAGCAGGAAGAGAAGTCCTAAAGCAGCTCAGTGGATGGCTCTTTGCTCCAAGGCTTGTCTGTCACCCTCTGGCAGGTAAGTTGTCCAAGATACCCAGTAGATGGAAGACGAAATGGTACAAGTGGGTCCAGAGGGCACCTCGAGGCCTGCGTTCCTAAATGGGCCAGAAGGGGACACAAGGAAAAATGCTGAGCAGGGACATGGCTGGCCACCCCCAGCTCCATGTCCAGGTGCTTGAAAGGACAAACACTGCTCTGCTGCCTCAAATGCACAAGTATTAATACACTCCTGAATTGCTGCTGGGCCAGGCCCTGTCCATGAGTAAAGAGGCTGAAGGGGGCGGGTACACCAGTTGGCCTCTTTCTGATCCAGGATGCAGCAGCTCCAAGCCTGGAAACTGGATTCCCCAAGGGAGAAAGAGGTGGGGCCAGCACTCTTTCCTCTGCCCCCAAAGCTTACCCTCTGCTCATAGTCTTGATGGAAACGGTCTCCCATGTGGCGCAGCCGAGCCCCAATGGCCTGCTCCAGGTTGAGCGGGGTTCTCGGGAGGTGCCCATTTGGGCCCCTTGCGCTTTGTTCTGGCTCTGTGGGGGCTTCCTCTTGGGTGCTGGGTGCTGTTGGCTGCATGCTCACTGCGGAGGGGAAGGAAAAGGAGGTCAGGCAGGCAAGGGTGCCTTCTGGCAGGTTGGGACAGGGCTCAGCAGCAGGAGGCGGGGAGGGGGGGTCAGCTCCAGTGTGGTTTCCTATCTCCTTGGTAACTGCCATCTGCTGCAGCTTAGCAGGAGCATTTCAGGACACAGCTTTCGTGTCTGCACTCTGGGGGGGGGTTGAGATCCTAAAGGCAGGCAGGAGGGATCCCCAAGCCAGGAGGGGCGTTGCCTGCCCTGGTGTCAGCAAGGAGCTGGGTAAAAGCCTGGCAGGAGCCTAGTGAAGGCTCCGGGCACCGCCCCCTGGGCCTCTGCTCCCCCCCCTCTCCAACGTCTTCCCGGGCTCCAGAGGACTGGCCTGATGTTGGTGCGGTTTTCCTGGAGGGCTGGGAAAAGCGGACAGGGCTCCAGGATGGGGTCAGACACCAACTCCAGTCACGGCTCGTCCGGGCAGCCGTGGAGGCAATGAAGAAAGAGAGCAAGCGGGCCGAGCTGCAGGCGAGGCTCGGAGCAAACTCATCGAGGCTCGGCGGCGGGACCGTCGGCTGCCCTGGCCGATGCGCGAAGCGAAGCCACTCACCACGGACGCTCCCGGGAGGCTCCAGCGCCCGCCCGCAACGATAGAGGCAGTTCAGCCCGGGTGGCAAGGCGAGCGGCGGGCGGCAGACGGAGGGCGGCAGGGCCAGCGTCCTCCCCACAGGGAAGGCTGAGCTCTGGGACACAGTTGCTGTCGGCTCGGCGAGGCTCCGGTCCTGCAATGGTCTAGCCATGGCGCTCGGGGGGATCTGCCGGGCAAACAGCGGTCAAGGCACCGAGCGACGAACCGCCTGCCCGCGGGGAACGCGGCAGAGGCTCGGCGACCCAGCCAAGGGGCGGAGCAGAGCGGCCGCGCCAAACCCCATGTTTGTAAACAAACCAAGCGGCGGTTCGGCACCTGGCTCGTCTCGGCTGCGGGGTTGCCCTGGGCACAGGGTCTCTCCCCGCCCCAACACCAGCCAACGCCCTGATCCCAACCCCGTCGCCGCTGGGCTGCGGCCACGTGTCCACCGCCCGCCTCCCCGGCCGGACCGAGTCCCGCCGACCCGCCGCGGCGTCCTCCCGCACTTACTGCAGCTGCATGAACCCTCCGGGGCGGCTCGGGGGTGGCGGGGCTCCGACTGGCACGGGCGGTGCGAGCGGCAACGCGAGTGAGGCAGGGCGAGCGGACGCGACAGCGGCGGGACGATTCTCCCTGCGAGCCAGGCAGCCGCGCGGAGCAGAGCTGCCAGCCCTCAGACCCCGCCCGTCGTGACGTCACCGACCCCGCCCCCAGGCAAGTTCGGGCTTGTGCAGGAGCCGGGGATCCCCCCGCGGGAGGGGCGAGACGCCCCTGCCCGGCCGCCTCTCCGGCTAGGCGCTCGTCTCCGACCGGGCGGACAGGGCGCCCGAGCCCGCTATTCTGGCCAGCCCCGCTGCTGCGGATCTGAAAGCAGGACCGCAGCGAGAGCGGGAGCCGGTGACCCGGCTGGCGAGGGCGCTCCGTGGCAGCGGCTCCGCATCTATCCTGAGGTCGTGCCCCCCCTTTCTTGGGGCGGAACTCTTCTGTCTAGCGCCAGTCGGCCCCTCCAACCCCGTTTCTTACGTGAAAGGGCAGGCAGACAAAAGGCAGCTGACCTCTTTGGAGCTGAGCACGGTTTTCCTGGCCGGGACAGCGGGACCATGAGCCGAGCGGAGGGTTCTGCAGAACCCTCAGACGGGAAGGGCCGGACGACCGTCCGTAAGCGAGGGAGCCAGGCCGGTCTCCAAGCCCGGGGCCGACGCCTTCGGTTTCCCGGTGAAGGTGGGCAGAGGGGGGCTACCAGGCCTCCGCCGCTACCTCGTCCGTTGGGGTGGAGCAGAGGTTGTTCTAGCGGCCGGGCGGTCCTTGGGAAAGGCGCTGGGGTTTAGTGGGTCTTCGTGCAATTGCCATGAAGCTAGAGAGCCTCTTTGCCCCAGCTAGGTGCGGGGCCGGTTCTGGTCACTGCGCCAAGCTCACGGCTGGGCCGGTGGAGGCGGAGGAAGAGGCTGTTCTCCAGCCAAGGACCGGAGCCCGCCCGCGCATTCCGCCAACACCGGGCAAAGTCCGCTGGGAAGGCGGTGAGGGGACAGTGCTTCCGCCTGTCGGCTGCCTGACCAGACCCGTAGGGCCGCTTCCCTAAGCCCCTGGCCCGGGCTGACCCTTAAGAGGCGTTGGGCGCGGAGCACATCTCCGGGCCTGGCCCGCCCACGGCTCTGCGCGGCCGAGGCGTTTATTTCGAGCGGCCGCGCGAGCGCCCAGGGGAGCGCAGCGAAAGGGCGCGCGGCATCCAGGAACAAGCGGGCGGGGCTGCAGTCGCTAGCTCGCCTCTCCCCCTCTGAGTTGCTGCTCGCGTGACCTCCGGTGGAGGGATCCTGCCGTCTGGCTGGCTGAGCCCCACCGCCGCCGAGCCAACGAGCGCCGCGTCGCCGGGACGGGAGCCGGGCAGCAGCCAATGGCGACGCGAGGCGGAGGGGCGCTCGGAGCGCTTTTGCAGCTGTCTCTATTGCTCTCTCCTTCCCTCCCCCCGCGCTGACATCACTGTTTATTGCTTCTTGGCCGGGCGGGGGGAGGGGGCTCGGCTGGCACATGCGCCGGGCTGGGCAGGAGGAACGCCTCGCTTCGGCGGCTGCGGCGCAAGTGAATTTGCCCAGTGACAGCCTCTCTCCCTGCGCACGCCGCCTCGCGATGAGGTCATCCCCGGGGACTGGGGAATGGTCCGGGGGAGGCAGTGGCGAGGCTACCCGGACACCCGCCGTGCCTTCTAGTCCGTCTCCAATTGGCAGGGCGGAAGCGATCCGCGGGAACACGGTTGGCCGCGCTCTCCACCTAAGGCGGGCGGAATTGGCCCTTTGGGCTCAGTCCGGGCAAAGGATGCGGGGCAGATCGTTTCTGACTCGCCGAACGTGGCGGCGAGGCTGGGAATGTCCCGGGGCCTTGAAGGCGGACGTCTGGCAGTTGGAGCAACGCTAGAAACCTGCCACGATCTAACCCGGGCCCGGTGCGGGAGGGCATCCGGGGATATCAGGGGAGTGTCGCGATGCGTCCGCGCTCGAGCAAGGGCGGCAGAGGCGCTCGAGCAAGTCCGGAAGAGGCTGCCGCGAGAAGGATGCCCTGCGCTGGGCCACGCGCTCCCGTGGGTGATTTGCCTCCGCGGCGCCGGGCGCTTCCATTGGCCATCGCGGGCGGCGCGCAACCATTCAGCGCCCGGCAAATGCCTGTTTCCACAGGAAAAACCCCGGCCGGCCGCCCAGAAGCCCGGCAACACGCGGCCGGCGGGTGGGGCCGCGCCCCAGCCCGCCTCTCCCCCCCCCCGCTGCGGAGGCTAGGGCGGGACTGGCTGACTCCGGTTGCGCTGCCCGAGGCGCGCAGGCACCGGCCGGCCTAAGCGCCCCACCATTCGACCTGCTCGCTTCGCTGCGTGAGCTTGGGGAGTCGGTGGGGCCCGGCGCGTGGCGGGCCCTCCAACTCCGCGGCAATTATGGCCGCGGACCCCGGAGCTGCTCTCCACGGTTCTGATGTCTGCCCGGCCTTAAGCTAAAGCGAGAACACCGAGGGCCAGGTGGGATTCCGGAGAACTCTTGGGCTGCGGAGTCCCCCCTGCCCATGCGCTGCACCCGCTCAGCTGCCCGGGAGCGTCTCTAGGCCCCCGATATTCATTTGGCAGTTCGCCAGCCCAACCCATTTCAAGGGGAGCCGCGCCCCCCCCCGCCCCTCTTTTGCCTTCGCCGCCGGTGCAGCAACAGCAGAAGCGCCGCGGCGTTTGGTTCCCGCCCCTCCAACCCTCTTCCACTCCACCGCCATAGCCAATCCGGGCTGACCATCCCAGCAGGAAAAGCAACTGCCATGGAAACAGCATCCGCGGCTACTCCTCCGAGGAGCAGCAACTGGCCCAGAAGGTGGGCGGGGAGGAAAGGTCTGAGGCCCTTGTCCCAGCCAGGAAGAGGAGGGCTGGATGCTATCAGGCTGGGGTACAGCTGCAACAATCTCCAACAGCTGAAGTGCTCTCTGAATGTAGCAGACATTTCATTATGCAACTAAAGAATATTCATATTACCTAATTAGTAAGCTCAGAGAGCACCCAGGACCCCACAGTTCAACCCTGAGCTACAAATAATGTCTTCCATTAGCACTTGTGAAATGTTTTACAACTACGATTAGAAGGAAGCAGAAGCAACAGTGGCAGGCTTTTCTAAATTAACCACCAAACCCATAGTGGAAATGGGAGATTACAGGTTTCTCCGTGTCTGCTTGAAGAGGTGCAGGTTAGAGATTGTTCAATGTGATCAATTTGCAAGTGTTGACCAAGCCTGCCTGAAGTTTGCTTGTCAATGGTCCTGCATTGTCTTGGGAGTATGATGAGATCACTAGGACTCTATTTGAGTGAGGGTGACATGGAATACATGTGTATCAAATTTGTAGGTGACATGTAACTAGGGAGATTGATCAAAATCTTATATACAGGGCATTGAACATGTTACTGAAAATAGCCTAAAACCCTTACATGAATATCCTAAAACCCTTATATCAATCAATGGTGAAGTTGCATTATGAATATTAGGTGCTGTTCTGGCTGCTGCACCTCCAAAAGGAAATGGTGGAGATATGAGACATTTCAGAGGACAGTCTAGGAGAGTGCTGGAGTGACTTCCCCAAGAGGAAAGGTTGCAACATTTGGGGAATTTTAGCCTAGCAAGGAGATAAATGGGGGGGGGAACATGATGAAGAGGCACAGAAGTATGCATAATGTAGATAAGGTAAACAAGGATAAGCTATTTTCGCCATCCCAAAATACTAGACTTAGAGATTACCAAATGAATTTGAATCCTAGAAGAATCAGGAGAAAAATTATTTTTAAAATACAAGGTATAATTAAACTTTGGAATTCTGTACGGAAAGCACTGGCTGTTCACCTTGATGGCAGAGGGCCTGCTTCTGAGGGCATCTGTAGGGCTTTGTTGTGCAGCTTGCTAGCCACTGCTTGATCAGACTGCCCAGGGTGTGATCTAGGGGCATGGCTTATGTTCTAACCCAGTGTTTCTCAACCTTGACAATTTTAAGGCATGTGGACTTCAACTCCCAGAATTCCACAGCCAGCAATGCTGGCTGTTCTAACCTCAACAGGCTTGAACACTGGCTAAATCTAACAGGATGATGGTCAGCATTAATAAAAGTCTTACAGTATGTTGGAGAGCTCTAGTGTGTAGGAGTTCTGCTTTGAACTGTAAGATGGGGGCAAATATATTTAATAATACAGTTGATGGCAACATGTATCAGTCTCCTGTCTAGAGAATTCAGAATCTCTTAAAGACCAACCCCCCCATCACACCCAGAGGGAGAGCTAGCTCTGCACCCTGCAGCAGGGGCCAATGGACACCCACCCTGCATACCCTCCGTCCCTCTCCTGCTGCTGCAGATGGCTCCATCGGCTGAAAAAGACATTGTTCTTCTTCTCATCCATCTGATCTGTCCCACTGCCATCTTCTCATCCATCTGCCATCTTCGACTGCTTTTATTGTAACGTCTTTCCTTGACTGTTGCGAGCAGCGGGCTGCACACCGTTCTCAAAAGTTATGATTACTGTCGCTGCCCTTCACAAATGGGCTCAGCTCAGCGCTGCCTGGCCCGTGACGACTTAGATCGGCCTTGGCTGCAGGACCTTGATCCCCGCCCCCGCCTCCCCGCTGCCACGGAGAGAAGCCCAGCTCCGCGCTCTTCTCGGTCCGCTCCAGGAGGGGGCTCGGCCTTTCACGGGGACCACTGTCTGCTCTCGCTCCCCCTCCCTGCGTCCCCTCGGCTTGGGGCGAGGGGACAGGGGTGCGCCTGGCTTCTGCTCTGGGCGGAGAGAAACTCCTTGACCGCGGCTGGCAGTTGAGGGCGCTTTAGGCCGGCAGCTCGAGCGGGACGGGAAGCTCCGTGGCAAACCCTTCCCCGGAAGGACGGGGCGCCGCTTCACCCGCCGTCTGCCCCGGGCGCACGTTTCCTTACCGAGGCACCGCAACCTCCGACCGAGGGGCGGCGCGGCACGCTGCAAGAACAGCCTTCTCTGGAAGGAAGCGGAAGCGCGTCCTCGGCGGTGTGGGAGGGGGCGCGTGCTGAGCGCCCGGGAGCTTCGGGTGCGGTGAGGAGGATGGTAGGCTGGGGAGGGGCGCCCGGGAGGGGGGAGCAGACGGGGTGGGGGTGGGGGTGGAGGTGAAGAGGCGGCCGTTCTCCCGCTGCTCTCCTTCCGCGCAGTCCGCCTCGCTGGAGCTGCGGTCACGGGAGGAGAAGGACGCCGAGCTGGACAAGCGCATCCAGGCGCTGCGGCGCAAGAACCAGGCGCTCATCCGGCGCTACCAGGTGGGCTCCCGGCGGGGAGGGGTCGAAGGGGAGAGGTCCGGCGGGGGGCTCGGCTCAGCGTCTCTCTCTTGCTCCGCGCAGGAGATCGAGGAGGACCGGCGCAAGGCCGAGCGGGAGGGCGTCGCGGTGACCGGAGCGCGAAAGGCCCGCTCGGCGGAGGCGGGCAGGCAGCCCGAGAGGCGGCGAGCGGAGCCGGAGGCCGTCAGGCTCGCGGGGCGGGTCCGGCCGGCGCCCGAGGTGAGGCCGGGCGAACGGAAGGCCGGGGCGGCTGGGAGGGGAGCCGCCGCAGCCGGGCGAGCCTCACGCGCCCCGCTTCTCTCGCCAGGACCGGCGGGCGCTCGGGAGGAAGGCCGCCGCCGTCAGGGAGACCCAGGGAGAGCCGCAGCCCGGAGGCCGGCCGCCTCGCGCTGAGGCCGGCTGGATAGGGCTGGGCGCGGATGGCGAGGCCGGCGGGCGACGCGGGCGAGGCAGACGGCCGCGGGGCCGAGCGGACATGGCCGGAGGCGATCGGCGCTCCCAGGTAAGGCGTCGGGGAGGCGGCGGGGGGCTCCGGCGGCGGGGCGCTTGCAGGGCTCTTTCCCCCCGCAGGAGTGGGAGGAGCGGCGGCGGCGGAACATCGAGCAGATGAACGAGGAGATGGAGAAGATCGCCGAGTACGAGCGCGGGCAGCGGGTGAGTGGTGCGCCGGGGAGGGGCTAGGGGGGCGGGCGGCCCCGGGCTTGGCTGAAGCCCCGCTGCTCTCCCCTGGGCAGGACGGGCTGCAAGAGAAGAACCCAGTCCGCAACTTCCTGGACGACCCGCGCCGCAGTGGCGCCTTCTCCGAGGCCGGCCGGCGGGAGGGCAGCCGCCGCCACGTCCGGAACTGGGGCGGCGCCGACTTTGATAAGGTCAAGACGGGCCTAGAGCCAGGCAAAGAGCCGCCCTCTCTGGTGCGTTTGAGAAGGGATGTATATGTGTGGGAGAGTCTTTTCGGTCGCTAATCCTTTCTGGGCTGGTCTGACAGCTGCCCCCCCCCCGACTTTCCCCATGGGATTTTCTCTGGCAGGGCCGGGGCAGTGGTCGGTGCAGGGGCCCGAAGATGACCTTGGATATGACGCTTTCCATGACTGGCCGCGAACGGGCCGAGTATACTCGCTGGAAGCAGGAACGGGAGCAGATTGACCAGGATCGCTTGGCCCGGCACCGCCAGCCCACTGGGGAGTGGCGCCGAGACTGGGATGCCGAGAAGACAGATCCCGCGTAGGTGCCCTGATCGCATGGGCCGGTTGCTGACCTTTCTTTGGGCAGGGGATCAGGAGGGGATCCCTGGAGCAACTGAGCTGCAGAGGTAGAAGAGTCTCCCTTACCTCTGGCTTCTCATCTCCACAGGCTGAAAGAAGGCAAGGGGCCTCGAGGCTCATCGACTGACAAGCAGGGTAAGGAGGGAACACGTGCTGTGGGGGCTTCCTCTTTGCCAGAGTGGGGACAGTGCCCCGGGGCGGAAAGCGGATATTTGGCAATTATCGCCTCTGGAGAGCCTCTGCCTTCCTTTGATCTCCTTACTGTTGTAGAACCCTCCAAGCACCCTCCCAAACTACCCACTTTTGGGGAATTCATGGTTGGGCAGCCTGGGGACCGGCACCGGAAGATTCGAGGCCGTGGGCACCTCCGAGGGAGTCCTCCCAAGTCCCACAGGTAAACACAGGCTGGGAGGGTGGGAGCTACAGCAGAGGGTCTCGCTGCTTGTCCTGCCCTGGTGCGAGACTCTCGGCTCAGCTTTGGCTTGTCTCTGCAGCATGCATGACAACCGGTGGGAAAAGGAGGAAGCAGACGGGACGTTGCCTGCATCTGCAGGGGAGGATAAGGCGGAGGCTGCCCCTGTGCTACAGGTGGGGAGGGCTGCATGTGGAGTGTTTCTTACTGCTCCCCAAACCAATCTGGGAGACCTAGGTGGGCCTCTGGGGAGCTCTGTCCCTGGGCCAGGGTTGAAGAAGCCTTCACCCAAGCCGTGGACCACAACTGAGTCAAAGATAGTTCTTAGATCTTTCCTGTGATCCTTTTCTCTCCCACCCTGGGATCCCCCAGACAGAGCCACAAATAACCGCAGCGACAGAAGATGAGGAAGAGGATGAGTGGGAGGACGTCAGCGAGGAGGAGGAGGAGGAGGAGGAGGAGGAAGAAGCTGAAGCCAACAGCAGCCAGGATTCTTCCTTGGAGGAAGATGGGCCTCATCCCTCCTGCTCCCCCCTGCCCCAGAGGCAGCCCAGACAACAGCCCACCGTTTGGTCTGCTTCACCTGAAGAGGCTGCAGCCATGGAGGGGGCACCCCTGACCCCCTTGGAGCCAGCAGAGGGATATGAGCCTGTATCTGACTGGGGGGAAGAGATGGAGATGTGTTCCCCCCGAGCCAGCCACAGCAGCCAAAGCCCGTTGGCTGCGCCCAGGGAGGAACTGCCTGTTGGGACTGCTGGTAAAGGACACAGGCGGGCATGTGGAGGGCTCCTGAGGCAACCCTGGAGAGGTGGGGCAGGAGGAGGGTGTATTTTACTATGGGATGCTGCTCAGTGCTGTTCTTCCCTTCCTGCAGGAGTGGGTCCCCCAGTACCACTGGCAATGCAGGGATCCCTTCCTGTGGACTCCCCAGCAGGAGGGGCAGCCTCTGCTGCACCCAGAGCGTCGGAGGCAGAGATAAAAATGGATGCAGAAGTGGCCGAGCCCAAGGAGGTGGCTACCCGAGCAAGGTGGAAGATGGGGGTGAGTAAACTCCCTAGCGTCGCATGATCATTTAGGGACCAGTTCTGGCCTGCCTCCTCCCCTCCCCCCCCCTGCAGCTCACTGGAGCTGGAGATCACGGACTTTTAGTCTTCCAACATTCCTGTGTTACTTGCCCTACTCAGGGAAGGAGCTCTACTGTGCCCCCCTTTCCCCCCCCCCCCGTGGTTCGCTGCCTGCTGCTTTTGATCCAGGCCATTGTTTCAGAGTTTTGGTGGAATTATTTTAAACATGGACAAGCATGTGATGCCTGCTACAATTGCTTCCCTGCTGAGTCCATTGTAGCTGGAAGATCCTCTGTGTAAAGGTCTTGAACCCACCTCCAGTTTGGGAAACGGTTTGAGCTGCAGCAGGGCTGCCTTAAGGCCGCGGCCAAGGGGATCCTGTGTCCTATAAGCCTTGGAGAAGCATGTGTGTTCCTCAAGTACTTCTCTCTATAGGGCTCCTCTTTTTATGCTGCATGCATCTGCTATCGCTTGGTTATTTGGGGAGAGAATCCGCTTTGCCTCACTGGGAGTGGGTGGGATGTTGAGCCTTGTTTAGCCCTGTGCAGACTCTGAAGGGAGGCAACTATTGGCAGCATTACGAGTGGCCCCCAACAAACTCTACCAAGGGGTGCAGAAGGCAAAAGGTGCTTTGGTGGCTGCAGGTTGAGGGAATAAGTTCTCATGAGCAGCTGCAAAACAGCTGCTGCCAGCCAAGCATGGCCAAGCATGGTCTGGCAGGAAACCTTGTTTGTCCTTTCCTAAGCAAATGGCAGGTGGACCTTGATGCTGGGAAGGAAAGAGTCAAGATGAATGGAATGGGGGGGTGTCAGGCACCCACCCTCCTCTAAAAAATCTTTGCTTCACACAAGGACTGTGTGCTCTATTAGGTTAAAATTCCAATTAAAGCACTACTGCCAGTGTCAATGGATAAGTTGCTTAATTTAATAGAGTCATCAGGCATGCATTACATTAATGTGATTGTGATGTTTAAAATTATTGATGTGCTGATGTCCAGAAATCAAAATAAGAGTTATACTTGGGATTTTAGCTTAAGTTTTAAAATATACGTGCAGCATTTTATCGTTATTGTGGAGTATTTTTGCTACTCTTCAACCTGAAAGGCCACCAGAACAATAAATACTTCATAAGAGGGCAATTCTTACCCTTCTAAGAATTTGGTAAGAAGAAGAAGAAAATGAGTAAATGAACAATTTCGGTTCAGAAACTCCAAAAGTGTTAGACTGCTATATAAGGCTGGGTTCGAAGACCCAGCTTAACAAACTTAGCTTAAAACTTAACAGCCTATTTGCAGAATATGCTTAACTTGCTTAATTTTAAGTTTTGTGGCTTGGCATGTTGTGCCAATATAGTTAGCTTGGTTGGTTTATGGCTCTGTGTAGTGCGCAAGTATCAAAGGCTAGTTAATTTAGTCATCAGCTGAAGAGGGTTGCATGAACACAACTGGCTTATGGCCCCCATCCTGGCTTGGTCTCAGAGAATCTCAAGACCCCCTTTTGGCAGGTCTTTGCCTGTGGCCAGCCTCCTTCCCGTTGCTGTTTCGTGCTTGGTGATTTTTTCTCTCCTGCCCACCAGGAGCACTTGGAGAGTGAGGCACCAGAGGCTGCACCCTGATGGTTCTTTTCCAGGGCCACTTGGAAGGCAGCCCACCTTGAACTTGAGCCAGACCATCATCTTCCTCAGAGCTGCTGGGTACAGTTGTGACACGCACATGCGCTCTGCATGTTTCTGCCACTCTTGAACAGTCTCTAGAGTTTGGGCTAAGCCAGTCGGCTGGTCCCCCCCTCCCCAATCACCCTTTAGTGCTCTTAACACGCAAATCATAGATAAGTGGGGCCTACAGCTCTGCTCCCAAACCTTCTGCAATCTTCCTTGGATGGGAAAGGTAGTTTCTTCTCTTCTGTGTCTAGGAGGAGTGGCCTGGGCCCTGGGAGAGAATGAGGCCCTTCCTGTCGCGGGGTTGAGAGCTTGGCTTTGCCATTATCGTATACAAAGTAAAAAATGTCTTGATAATAAAGCTTGCGTGTGTCTTGCCTTCCTGCCTGCCCCATGGTCCTCTCAGAACAGCGAGTGGGGAGACCTTGTGGACATGCCTGGGGAGCAGATCAGCTGTGGCGCAGAGGATTCTTGCTGGAATAGAAGATATAAAAGCTTGAATAATTTCTTGGAAGGGAGGAATTCTGGCCTGTGCTGGAGAAACTAGCTACCCTTTGGCAAGGCTCTGCTACTGTGCTGACCAGCAGTAGGGAGCCAAGGAGAAGCTTCTGGATAGCCTCAACTGCAGAGGAATTTGCTCTCCCAGGTTATTTTGGCCCTGCCACAGGCATTCAGAAGTACATGGTGGTGCCTAAAGCTTGGCTATCTGGGTTCCCCACAGTCTCTCTTGATGCCATCAATCATGGTCGGGATGGGAGCCCTGGTGTTGCAATGTTCTCTTCTTTCTCCTTGGTCAATTCATTTGTTAATGACAGGTAGGGAGACTTTCAGCCTGAAGCCCCAGGTTTGTTGGTGTGTATGTGTGCGTGCGTGCGTGTGCGTGTGCGTCTCAAGACTGGATTCTCTATGTTCATAACAACATGAAAATGCCAGATGAGGTCATCCGCTGACTCGAGATCAGATATCACCGGTGTAACACCTGAAAGCTATGTATCCACATGTCACTTTGGCCCACGTCAGCAAGCAACCTGGGCACCTCTGTAAGGTGCTGCCCAATCAGATTCTGGGGGTTCCTTAATCCAGACTCCAGGCAGGTGTTGGTGTTTCCTTGCATTGGGTGTTGGGATACAAAAAAGGATCGCCCACAGCCCGTGCCTCCCCCTGTGGTCAGTCCGTTTCCAGCCAACTGGAGCTTCCCAAAATGTTTTGAGAAAGCTGAGATGTTTGGAGGCTGTCCACATATTTCTCAGGGTGCTTGGCCTTGGGATCCTAGTACAAACTGGATCCGGCTGCTCTGGTCTGTATCACCTGTCATTCCCCCCTCCCAATTTCCCATCACATACACACACCTTCATTGCCCTTCCATCCTTTCTCCCTGCTCCCAGCCTTTGATGGCAGAATGCCTGTCAGGTGCCAAGTTAAACCAGGCAGAGCTGTAGATCAGATGCGATGTCAGGTGCAAAGGATCAGGGGTCCTATGTTAAGTTGCAATTCAGAAGATTTATATGGCTGAAGATTTATATGGCTGAAGCCTAAACACAAGAATCTAGTTCAGTACCAAATTGAGAGAAGGGCCAGTGGAATTCAACAGGGCCTTTCCTTGGACCCTCTATGGGATTGTAATGGGCTAAGGAGAACCTGGCGCAGGTGGGAATGTGCTCATTCCCATTTATTACTTCTACAGCTAAAACTAAGAAAGCTGGATTAAAACAATGGAGGAATTGGACACAAGCATAAGCAGCCTCAAAGTATGGAGGTTGTTGATCGCCTGAATAATTATGCCAAGGTGACTGCCAACCAAACCACCAGACAACTTCTTGAGAACGGCAACTCAGATCAAAGGCCACCAAAACAGAAGATTAAGATCAAGAGAAATGAGGATGAAACAACTAAATGTCTATGGAGGTTCTCTACCATCCAGGTCATGGTTGTCCCAAAGGTGCTTTTCAAAAGACAACTGGACTTTCTTGGTCCTTTTTTGAAAACCAAGATAATCCAGTCATCTTTTGAAAAGTACCTCTGGGGTGAAATAAGTAATTTATCGTCCCCCTTTATTATGGAAGAACAGAGAGAGGCTGTAAAGAAGATTTGGCCACGGAAGGCTGCTGGCTTGGATGACATCCATAATCACCCTAAGAACTACTGCCCAATTTCTCTCTTGTATCATACCTATAAAATTGCCTCGCTGTAGCTGTAGAGCCCTTTCTCATACAGCAGCAGGTTAGATTTCGCCCTGCAGATCGTCAATTTAACCCCATATGTTGAAGATGGATTCCAAAAGGGCAACACAACAGGAACTGTATTCCCAGATCTCATGGTTGCATGGGATACCATCAATCTTGGAACACCGAAGCAGGAAGTTTATGATGTGACTAAAGATTTTAAACTTACAAATATCATTAGAAATCTGCTTCAGAGCCACATTTTTTGTGGAGTTCCAGGGAAGGCAAAGCAGACGGAGGAATCAAAGGAATGGCTTACCACAGGTAGTGGTATTGGCTCCCACTCTTTTTAATATTTGCACAATAATCAGTCACTTCCTGCAGGTAATGATATGTATGCTGACGATCGAGCAATGACTGTACAGGGAAAACGTGAAGAGGTTGAACAATGTTTAACTGAAGATCTTTCAGAGCTGGAGCAATACTGTTGTGCTAACCAGTTGAGGCCAAATCCAGCAAAAACTCAGATATACGCCTTCTATCTTCGCAATAAGCAGGCTGCTGGGAAGCTACGTGTTATATGGAAAGGGATGTTATTGAAGCATTGCTACAACCCTAAATATTTAGGGGTCACTCTAGATAGGACCCTAATATGTAAGCAGCAGTGTACTAACATTAAATTGAAGGTCAGTGGATGAAATAACATCCTCAGGAAATTAACAAGCTCCAACTGGGGTGCCAAATCAGGGGCCTTCCATTCCCCACCATCTGGTCAGAGCTGAAGAAACTTCTTGGATGAGAAGCAAAACGTCTTCAAAGAAAAACAAGAAAGTCCAGTTGGGACAAACCAGCGGACCTTAAGACAACAGCTCTAGCCTGCTCAGTCTGATAAATCAGTACCTCCTGGGAAAGCAGATGTTGCTCTAAATGAGGCTAGCCAGAATTATTACTAGATGCCTTAAACCTGCCCCTCTAGATAAGATCTACCACCTATCTGGCATTGCCCTGCCTGCGGTTTGCAGAGAAGCAGCAGCAAAGAGAGAGAGGCTCAAATCAATATCTAGACAACACCCTTTCTATGGCCTGCAACCAGCAGAGACTAAAATCTAGGAAAAGCTTCTTTAGGTCAACAGAAGACTTCAAAGAGTTTAAAAGCAGAGAGGACGAATGGAAAGGTACAAAAAATCAACACTGGATGGAAGCAAAGGAGGAGCTGGCATCTGGGTCTGTGGGAAAGTGTGGAAATTGTTGAACAGGCTGTGTATGGCTGCAAAAAGATCCAGAAGCACTCTGAAAAAAGGGGGCTATCTGGTACCTTCTGCCCTTTGTGGTGACATGCAGACAACAATACATATGTACTGTGTATCTGTCCTGTGTGCCCTCATCAGTGCACACTTGAGGATTTCATTGCAGTGCGACAGAACACAATGTTGCTAGCTCCTGGACAGGATCTGTTTAACTTGTACATACTTTAATCTTGTACTTTACATTTTAAATTTTATGTTGTACACAGCGCCTTATCTTAATTATGGTGCTTCTGAATGAATAAACAAACAGGCCTGAAACAAATCTGAGCAGAGATGGATTGGATCAGCCAGACTCTTGTTCCTCTGCAGAAGGCCAAAACTGGGTGCACGTGACACCGCAGGCTGCTTTGGGCAGAGTGCCGGGAAGGAATAAGTGCAGTAATGATTCAGAGAGGTGCTCCAGCAGGGTGAGGTGCCCTGCAGCAGCAAAAGTGGCCTCATGTCAGGAGTCCATACTGACTTTTTACCTTGAATTATACATGATCAGCAGGTAGTCTGCTGCCTATGTGATTCTGTACAGGTGGCCTCATATCCATAAAGCGAATATACTGAAAGATAGCTGGGCTTTCCAAGTAATGCTCTGCACTATTTGTGGCCTGACAGCCTTTCACACTTCCTCCTTTGTACCTGTTAATGTTGGTGGAAAAAAAGCTCAGTGAACATTTCACCTCACTGACAGTCTATGCCTTCTGAGGAGACACCAGGTACTTTCATGGGCAGCATTGCGTGCTGACATCCCCAGAACATCTCTGGCATTAGTTTGTCCAAGGAATTCATCCCCCACTGTAATACCCTGAATGATCAGATGTGGTCATCAGAAAGGCAGCTGGCAGAAAACCAACTAAGCAGGACGGTACCCACAAGAAAATGTCCCACTGGGGTGGGGGTAGGAGTTTCAAATTAGAGGATCCTCTCTTCTTTGGATCTCAGCTGGGCCGTATGAAACTTGGTTCCTGGCCACCCTTTGGCACGGTGTGATCATTCTGTACCACACTTGTTGCATAGACATATCATTCTGGTTGCTTACAAATATCCCCAAATTGCCAAGGCGCCTAATGATGTCATAGGGCTGGTCCCAAAGGTGGCTCTTCCATGCATCCTATGCCTTTGTATTGGAATAAGAGGAAAAACCCCTCACTGACTCTAGACTACCCTTCTCTGAGTTGAAGCAGCTGGTGTGAAGTCAAGCAGGAAGCTAGGTTTAAGGGGATGGCCTCAGAAACAGATCGGTGGGTGTCTTCAATCTGTAGCCTGCAGGACACATGCATAAGTCTGAGTGCGGCAGGGGCCAAGGAAGGTGTCCAGTTATTTAGGGCCAAGCAGAATTTTTGTCCTAATGGAGATCTGTAGGGTCAACATTTGGGAGATGAAGGTACCTAATAAATACCGCAAGGGTATCCTATTAATAGTTGACTTAATTTAGCGCCTCCAGTTAGGGAACATTTTTTTTATAAAGTCTAGCTTCCTCTTTTAGAGTATCCAAGCCCCTCCTTGCAAAATTGCCATCTTCAGTCATCTTGAGCAGAGACATCACAACAACGCCTTGTCCTCCACCGTAAGTACAATTTCTTTTTTCCCACCTGGGACCATGTAGAGGTGAGGGTTCAAGGGAGGATGGAGACTTCTTATTTCAGGCCTTTGCACATTGGATTAATTTTCCTCTTAAACTGTGTATCTTTTAAGAATGTATATTTGCTTTGTTTGGTAATCGGCACGCATTTTTGCCTCACAAGGGACCTTTCCGGTCTTTTGAATACAAATGATTAACAAGAGCCAAGTGGGATTTGTCTGCACTGATTTTTCTTTCCAAGTGGTTGAGGGAAATTCCAGGAGGGGACTCCCACCACCACCACCCAGGCAAAGAGAAGAAAGAGCCAAATGCAGGGCGACCAAACAGAGTGCCCACTCCATTCATGGGCAGCAAGGCTCCTTCCTGGGCCATCCTGAGCAAAACAGGCCTAGCAGTGAGGAGAACTGCCCCTACTGACCCCAGCAACCTCATTCAGTCTAATGGCAGGTTTGGCTATAGGTCGCAGAAATCGAGAATATTTAATAAATAATGTTTTTTTAAAAAACTGGGTCAAAGATCTTCTCTTAAAACTGGTGGGAGCTACCTTTAGGAGACCCATTCCTCACTCTCGTCTGTCTGGCATCTTCGTGGGCTTCAAATCTATACTCTAAGATACCACCAAAGAACAGCGTCCATTTGCTTTACCGTTTGTTGTCAAAGGACTGATTAGGCAATGTATGTGGGGAAAAAAATCTGCAGATTCATATTTTTAGCTTTGCTAACCCTTTCTGGTGGTTCCCTCCCATCCATGACCGCAGAACTTCTGACGGAAACTAGATTCTACCAAAGTAAGTTGTCCGAAGTCATTTGCAGTTGAATATCCTCTAAATTTAAAGTAGGTTATCCTTTTTCTTAGGATTCCACTAAATGTTACAAAAGAGCTTGTGAGTTTTAAATCACGGAGAAAATAAAAAAGCATGAAAAATAAGCAATGAGAAAGCACCAGACAAAATAGACAAGAGATTCATAGCACAAAGTTGGCTCGAAGCGGAGGTGACAGAGTTACTTGGAGATGGAGAACTGCTGTCAATTAAGACTGGCATTTCTTTGGCTGGGCCCTGGTAAAGTGGTAGACGGAGCAATTTGTCTAAGTTTGTATATTTATTAATATTTAAAAGCTCTCCAATAGCTGAAACTCTCTGGGCTATTTACAATAAAATGCACTAAAGTGTACATTTGAAATAAATACATATAGAATAAAATCAAATAAAATGCAGAATGAAAACTACATACAAATTGGGCAGTAGCACTGTGGTCATTCAAAAGCTAAAAGGATGCAAATGGAAAGGAAATTAAGAACCAAAGTGGAAGAAAGAGGGCAACTGCACTATATTTTGTCTGAAATTCTTGTATTGTCCTGAATTTGTACTGCTATACATATCTTCTGAACTGCAAACACTTTTTGAAGGAGTGGAATAGTGTTTCTGGAACGTATAATGGCAGGTTTTTTTTAAATAGTTGGGCTTGCAAAAACACTTGATGAGGCCAAGAAGAAGTGGATCCTTTGCAGTCCAGCTGTTTGTGGGAGGGCAGCTGCCTTAGAGGAACAGGATGTTCTATGGAGCCACAATTCAGTATGTTTGCTTGCATGCTGTGTCTTCTAAGAACCCTCCAATTCTGCTTTGCCGATCTAGATTTAGCATGTTATGTGAACCCTCCTGGATTTGTGGGATTAAATATTTACTTTTGCATTCAGCCACTATTTCTAAATATTAAGATATGTATACACCAGGGGTGTCAAACTCACATCACATGACGTGTTGCGACGTATCGTGACTTTTCCCCCATTGCCGGAGCTGGGGTGGGTGTGGTTTTGGCATGACTCATCCGGCTCGCGGGCTGGCAGTTTGACATCCCTGGCATGCACTGTCTCTTGCTGGGTCACTGGCTTCTTCTCAAACTAGTCTACACTTTTTAATTGTACCTTATTTCAGCTGATCTTGACTTTTTTTTTAACCATAAAATGTTTTGGGCATGTGTCTCCCCATCAGCTTTATTTCTAATCTTCCCAATTTGTTCTGGGTTTTACCAACTTTTTATAACAGTTTTAGAATATTTTAGAATGGTTTACCAACAACTGAAAACTCACAGTATGGAAAGAGGTCCAAACTGGACTTAAAAAACATTTGCCTCTTCCTGAAACAGATAAAGTTGGCCTCCATCTTTTGAGGGAGGGGTGTAATACCCAGTTCCTCTCTTTCTTATCCTTTTACAGAACTGCCCACCACTTGGAGATGGATTATCCTGTGGAAGGTTTTCCTGGCATTTCTGACTACGATTATTCAAACTTCACAGAGGAACCTCTCAGCGTAGAGCAGAGCAGCCTGAGTCCCATCATCTTGGTGGCCATTGTCCTCTATGCCCTGGTGTTTCTAGTGGGCACGCTAGGCAACGGGGCTGTCATCTGGGTGGTGGGGTTCCAGATGCAGCGCACAGTGAGCTCAGTCTGGTTCCTTAACCTCTCGGTAGCAGACCTTCTCTGCTGCCTGTCTCTGCCTGTTCTGGCCGTGTCCCTTGGCTCCAAGAATCATTGGGAGCTGGGAGATTTTGCCTGCAAGTTTTTGCCTTCCATCATCATCCTCAACATGTTTTCTAGCATCCTGCTGCTGACCCTAATCAGCATGGATCGTTGTGCCCTCGTGGTGAAGCCCGTCTGGTGCCAGAATCACCGCTCGACCCGCTTAGCCTGGAGACTGTGTGGCGGGGCCTGGATCTTTGCCACCCTGCTCACTCTACCTTCATTCCTGACCAGAAGAACACAATATGAGTTTCATAACCTGATACTCTGTGTGGTCGACTATGGCTTCTTTGGTGTAAATCACCAAACTGCTGAGATCTCTGTGGCGGTCACACGCTTCCTCACTGGCTTCCTGGTCCCTTCAGTAGCCCTCAGCCTCTTCTACGGGCTGCTGGCTCTGCGTGTACGCAACAGTCGCTTCACACGCTCCAGGAGGACCCTGAAAATGATCTTGGTGATCATAGTGAGCTTTTTTGTCTGCTGGGCTCCTTATCATGTGATTGGCCTGATTCTGGCCAGTAAGAATCCGAGGAGCCCCCTCTTCCATTTCCTGAACCAGATAGACCCCCTGGCCGTGGCGCTCGCCAGCACCAACAGCGGCATCAACCCCATCATCTACGTCATTGCAGGTCAAGGCTTCAAGGTTAAAATCTGGCGCTCACTGACTGCCGTGTTGCGCAATGTCCTGAAAGAGGAAATATCAACAGCCACCTCCCAGGCCAGGGGGGGCACTCAGGGCTCCTGCACCACTATGGAAGTTCAGAGCACTTGCACAACCCTGTAAGCCCTTCCTGAGCAAGGCCGCTGTGCCTCTATCTTTGAGCTTGCTCCCCTTTGGCTAGAAACATATTCCCAGCTGCTCCCTCTGGCCATTCTGCCGTGCTAGTGTTGTTCTCCACTGGGACCAACTGCCCAAGATCCAGTGACTGTCACTGACTCTCTGAACCACCGTTTCTCCCTTATTCAAAGATAAAAATAAATAAGTGGACAGAAATGTGCCTAAACTTTTGTGTATTGCTTCAGTATGCCTGCCTATGCATGTGTATCTGTGTATAAATATAACAGAAAATATTACTGATATACTAACATTTCATTTATTGCAACTTATATGGCACTTCATTTCTGAGCAGCCTACACCACTGATATCAGAAGGTATAAACTACAATTAATCCATGTGCTGCACCACTGTTAGGATCCTATTTTCCCCTAATTTGATTCCTCTTGTGGAATTAAATTCAGAGGAGAATGGAAAACAATAGACTACTCTTCCTAGTGTTGAAGGAAAAGTCTTCATCATGATTCAGTCCAAGCCGGGAATAAACAACATGGTGACTGCTTTAGAAAGAAGGTTGCAGTTTATTGAAGAGAAGAGCCAGACAGAAAGATGGCTCTGAAAGAAAAGAGGGAGAGCACAGGTAGGGAGTGGGTTTTTCCTGTGGCATGAACTTTGACCTGATCTGAGTCAGAGTGTGCCTTTCTGGTATTCTGATGGTGGTGGGTTAATCCTAGTATGTCCCAAAGGTCAATCCTGCTTCCCTGGGACTGTAGTTGATGACTCTTAGATTTTTGGTGTGAGGGATTGTTGATTCTAGGGATCTTCTTCCTAATCCCAGTTTCCTGACTCCAGTCAGGAATATATTCTGCCTTTTAAATATTTCCAAAAACATTTCCTTCTCTGACTTCCCACACTAGATATTCATGTCAGCAGAGAAAGCAATAGCAAGCTACAGATCCAGTTTTATTGCAAAGCAACCAGCACCAATCAAGTATTTTCAGAGCAACAATCTACCCATGTACTAGATAACAAAGCTATAGTATATGAAAATATGGTACTCTTCAGTCACAGCGGGAGACTGTGAGTTCTAGTCCTGCCTTAAGTCAGCTGGGTGACTTTGGATCAGTCCCTTCGCTCAGCCCAACCCACCTCACAGGGTTGTTGTGGGGAATACAGGAGGAGGAAGTGGTGTTGGATAAGTTCGCCCCCTTGAGTTATTTATAAAAATGATAAAAGAGGGGTATAAATATAATAAATTCCGAAAAACAAAAATTAAAGCAACGTATATCACCTGTTCCAACTCACGTCACTGATTTAAAAAGTCTGTCCAGTCAACCAATCGTCACACAGCCAGCGCAGCCCACGTATCCACGCTGCACAAACTTCTCATAAACGAGCAAACCATACCTGCTCGGTCCGAATTCCTTGCTGACCTGCCCAAGGGGGGGGCGGGGCGGGAGGGGAGTTATCTCCCTTTCTCCGCCCACCCGCCCACCTCTCGCAGCTTCCCAGGCTTTCCGCCACAGCCCCGCCCCCCCACCCAGCGCTTCCTGCTCCCGCCCGCCCGGCGCCTGTCGTGCCGCCGGCTACCGGGGAGAGCAGCCGGGATGGCGGCGGAGGGCTGGGACTGCCCCGCCACGCGCGCCCGCCTGGAGGCCGCCTATTTCTCGCCGGGTTGTACCGGCCAGGAACGGGAGGACTTCTGGGCTTTCTTCCGGCGGCTGCGCGGCTTCTGCGAGCGGCGGGGCTCCGGCGCGGGGGGCCGACCGGCCTACGACCCTGAGCGCCGCCTGAACCTGCGGCTGCCGCGGCGAGAAGTGGCCGGCGTGTCCCCGGCGCGAGCGCGCCGCTTTGGCCTGGCGCTGCTCCGCTTCCTGGACTTCGCGCAGCGGCGGAGCTTGGCCCGGCTGGTGCGGCTGCAGCGGGAGCGCGCCGCCCTGCCCATCGCCCGCTCGCGGGAGGCGCTGCTGGCCGCCTTGGCGCGCAGCCCGGTGGTGCTGGTGGCCGGGGACACGGGCTGCGGCAAGTCCACGCAGGTGCCCCAGTTCCTGCTGGCCACCGGTTACGCCCACGTGGCCTGCACCCAGCCGCGGCGCCTGGCCTGCGTGGCCCTGGCTCAGCGCGTGGCCCGCGAGAGCCTGGGGCGCTTCGGGGACCAGGTGAGCACACGCGCGCGGGCGGCCGGGGGCAGCCGGGCCCGGGAGTGACTGGTCTCCTTTCCCTGCGCAGGTCGGCTACCAGATCCGCTTCGAGAGCGCTCGCTCGCCCGCCACGCGCATCGTCTTCCTGACCGAAGGGCTGCTCCTGCGCCAGGCCCAGCGGGAGCCCACGCTGCCCGCCTACCGGGTACTGATCGTGGATGAGGTCCATGAGCGCCACTTGCACTGTGACTTCCTGCTGGGCGTCCTGCGCCGGCTCCTGCCTGTCCGGGCTGACCTCAAGCTGGTGCTCATGTCTGCCACCATCAACATCCAGCTCTTTGCCGACTATTTTGGGGGCGCTCCTGTGATCCAAGTTCCTGGACGCCTCTTCCCCATCACGGTGAGGGTGCGGGAAGAAAAACACCCAGGAAATGGTCCAGAGGACGCCTGCCTGCTGGAACAAGGTTCCCCTGAGAAATTGAAGGCCTGGCCTGCTGGTGTTTTGGAGGGCTTTTGGCAAGGGTGGTTGAAACCCCTTCTGGGAAGTAGGTTTATTTGTTTGTTTCTCAGATTTGCTGTCTTTTGTGGTATACGGATTTCATACATCAATAAATAATAGTAATTTGCTAACTCCTTGCACTCGCCCTACTCTATGAGTTTTTAATCGGAAGCTGCCCGTGTCCTTCCAGCTGTAGTTCTTGTAACATAGAAGGCTTAAAATTGTGGTTTAAAAGAAGACCAGGTGGGCCAATGTGACCTCCTGTTCCATGCAGGTCATCTATGAACCCATCCCCCCTGAGGAAAGCAGCCGTGGGCGCAGGGAAAGGCTGGGCGCCCAGCCCTTCCTGCGGGTGCTCCAGGCTATCGACCACAAGTACCCGCCGGAGGAGAGGGGAGACCTGCTCATCTTCCTCAGTGGAGTGGCTGAGATTGGGGCGGTGGTGGAGGCTGCGCAGTCTTACGCGGCCTTCACTAAGCGCTGGGTGGTCCTTCCTCTGCACAGCACCCTTTCTGTGGCTGAGCAGGACAAGGTGAGTCGAGCAGGGCTGGAGAGGTAAACTTCTTCCTCCCACTTTCAATGGTGGGAGGGTCTTGTTATTATGGAGAGGTGACCAATTGAATCCAGGGTGCTGGTGTCACCAGATGGAGTGCAGCTAGAGTTTGGGGGCCCTTTCAGCTTGTTGCAGTCTTGTCATCCTTGTATTTTTTCATGGAAAGAGGAGAAAGCTTAGCAAATAGCACTTAGACTCACATTGCGCTCCACAGCACTCTAAACCGTTCACAAATAGAGTCAGATTTTTTGGGGGGGTGGCACCTAATGGCAGCTTTCTAGGCTTCTGTTGCAGTTTTTGTTATCTTTCTCTGATCAGAGATATGGGACTTATTTTTTAAAAACAACAACAACAAAACCAGAACTTCTTAACAGCCATTGTCATTGCTCTTCAGATCTTTGGCCTTCCTCCACCAGGAGTCCGGAAGTGCATCATTTCCACCAACATTGCCGAGACTTCCGTGACCATTGATGGGGTCCGATTTGTTGTTGATGCAGGTGAGAGTTCTTCCCCCACCCCGGGGGGGGGGTTGGCCAATGGAGGAGAGCTGCTTTTTTTCACCCAGGAAGCAAAGGAGGTGAACTTGAAGGGAATAATCAGGCGAAGCCATTCCAGAAGCAACCAGGGCAGAAGGGAAAGAAGAGGCTCAGGGCTGGCTCCTCCCTAGGCTGTAATGGGGGGAAGAAGAGGGAAGCCCCAAGGGAACTCTCATTGGAGGGAGCTCCTGGTGTCCTGAGGTGTCTTGATCTGATTTGGTGCACAGGGTTGGTTCTCATGTGTTATTTCTGCTTTCCCAGAACTCACATTTCTGCCCTTGTTGCTTTTGTAGAGCTTCTGGATGTTCCTTCCAGGCCATCTCCATAACTCTAGACCATGGGGATGGACATGGGGCCCCCAAAATGGAGTTGAGATTAATCAGCCTGGGCTGTTTTGTGCAGTTCTGACTTTCCTTGGAATGGCACAAACTGACCCAAGATAAAATATTGATGAGGATGATTTATTGCCTGCCTTTCCCAAGACGCAGTATAAATCGGGGGAAACAGTCTAATTATCACCTTGCCAGCCATGTCTGGGGGTGAAACGTCAGGAAATCTGTTGCCTAGACCAGGGTCACTAGACCCTGAAGCTCAACACTGTGCAACAGATACTGGCTGTGAGAGCCTATGCCACTAATAAAGTGGGTTCATTATGACCAGGGGACACCAGGTGCTGACCCTGGAATTAACCAAGCACAGTACCACACCCACACACCCGTATTTAAAATAACATTCTATGATACAACCAAGTTTGCAGACATTGTCACTGAAATAAAAACAATAAGAATTGTCAGGATTAAGGAATGGATGAGCAGATCCTGCATGAATCATCTAGTCTATATTCAAAAGGTCTTGAAGCCTTGGTCTTCAAGTTGTTCCACAGGTCCTTCCAGAGTTGGATGCAGCCAGTTCCTGAAATCCTGAAAGCAGGACAGATAAATACTGGGGTGCACAAGGCCAGCACCAGAATTTACCCTGAACTCTGGCCAGTTACTGATCCACTGAAGAGCCAGCCCTATGGTATTATGAGAGCCGAGAAGAGGAGAGGGTCCAGAACAGCCTGAATGACTCTTGCCAAGGAGCAGCTGCCTAACCCTGCGGGAGTCGACCCATGAGGGTGCCAGAGAAGCCACCCCCCAAATTCTATGAGTGTCCCTCAAGGGAAACTTAGCAACTCCCACTGTAAAACTAGTAAATGGATACCAAGTCAGTTGATCCCCAAAGCTGTGAGCAGAGGAAACTGCAGCCACCCCTGGGATTTGGAGAAAGGGAGGAGGGGG